TTGATTTTAGGGACTCTTTGAGTCGTACGTCTTCCTCTGACGCTCAGTTACGGCAGCCCCGCTGCACTTGGTAGCACTTGTAGTCGATCCCTCGCCTGAGTCGGTTGACTGTATCCTCTGTGAGGATGGAACACCCCGTGTTCGCGAACTTGCCCCCGGCGCAGCAGGACGCGCTTAACAAGCTTATGTCCCTGTTCGGCCTGGAGGGCATCGTCCACCTTGCGTCGCAAGGTCCAGAGGCGGTTACCGCCAGACTGGAAGCGTTCACTCGCTGCGAAAACGCGCTCTTAAGGCATGTACAGGAGAGGATGCGTGCCCCGACGGCGGCAGCGTCGGTGACGCGTGCAGGGTCTGTGTGACCGAAACCACTCTTAGTGAGCGTAAAACCTTCGAAGGGAAGGATGGAGAGAATCTCCTTCTCTGGACCCGCGAGGTCGAGATCGCCATGGGGTCAGCTCTGCTCCAATCCGAGCAGCAGCGCGTCGCGCTGGCTATCTCCAAGCTTGGAGGTCGCGCTCGCGAGTGGGCACTAACGTGCGGTATGTCAGTTGACACTGCATTCCCCTCTTGGGAGCAGCTGAAGCAGCAAATGTCGCGCGTGTTCGCGCCGCCTAATCAGGCGTACCGTATTCGGTCAAAATTCCTGGCTACCCGGCAGGGTAAGAAGGAATTGCTGGACTATGTCCAAGAGCTGAGAACTCTGATCGCAGGGATGGCGGCGGATCCTCCTCCGGAATTGGTCACGGTTACCGTGTTCATGGAGGGACACCGCGTGAGCGCAGCTCGAACGGAAGTATTCCGTGTACATCCGACCTCTTTCGAGGAGGCGGTGAACGTGGCATTGAATGCCGAACACAACTTCAGTTCGGCTCGACCTGGTTGGAGCGCTGGTAGCGCGAGCTCTTCGGGCGGTCCGGAACCGATAGACCTCAAAGATGAAGAAGCGGAGCTTCTTGCTGCTGAGCAGCGTGCCGGCACCCGCCGATGCTTTACGTGCAAAAGCACCGAGCATCTGGGGGCGAGCTGCCCTCTGCGCTTCAAGCGCCAGGCTCCGGCGAGCCAACCCTCCAGGACAACGCCGGGAAACGGCAACTCCCAGTAGGCGCGGGGCGGCCTAATGGGGAAGAACTGAGTTCTGTTGCGCCTCGAGGAGGTAGAGGGCAACGGGGCCCAGCCCCAAAGAGAGCTGGGCTCTCTTATGAGAAGGATGTGCGCAAGCCGGGCTTGCTGGTCGTTCAAGCGAACGTGAAGGGGTTTGTGAAGCCGTGGAGAGTCTTGATTGACTCGGGAGCCTCGGGCAACTATGCCCGTCGCTCCACCCTGGAAGGGAGTCAGCCGTATGCTGAAGCACTGGAAGTGCGAACGCGAGATGAAATCTCAGTCCGTCTTTCGACGGGGACACTTGT